TCTCTTCTCCATGCTCTTCTTCTCCTGTTTCTTCAGCTTCATCGTTCTCTTTTTCATGCTCATCATCAACTGCCAGCAAGGCCTCGCCTCCACTTTGATCTTCCTCATCCCCAGTGTCCACAACAGCAGCAGCAGCGGCTGCAGCTCGTCGCTTCTGTTGACGTGAGCTCGTTCTCGTGGCGGGCAGCACAGGACGCCGTCGACGCGCCGGTGTTCGCTTTGTTGGCGTCTTCGCCGACTTTGAACGCCCACGAGACTTGGAGTCCGCTTCAGACGCAGAAGCGTCGTGACTCTCTGAGCCACTCACGTCTTCGCTCGCAGACACGGAAGCTCCACGTGTGCGTTTACGCGGGTTGTGAGACGGCGGCGATGGGGCGGCAGAGCGCGAGACCGTCACTGCTAATACTCGTTCGCGTTCGGATCCTTGTTGACGCCCGAGCTGGCGTAAGCGGTGGAGGACCCGAAGCCTCTTCATAAAGGGCCTTGCTACTCGAGTCCAGACTGTCAGCAGTCTCTGCTTGACCGTCCTTCTGTTCTGCTTGAAGTGTCTCGGTATCTTTGTCCTTTTCATCGTCTTTAACGTCGCGTTTCTTCTCATCTTCCTCTATAAGAACAACAGCTTGTTGCTCGTCTTTGCGAGCAGCTTCCTCCTTACGAGCAGCCGCTTCGTCCTCTGCATCGCGAATCTTCTGCAACAAAATGGCTTCTTTCTTGACACTAGCTTTACGCAGCGTCTCGGTCAGAGTCCTAGCGAAATGCAGCAATTCCACGCCTTTGCGTCTCGCTTCCGGTTGCTCGCGCTGCTCCGCGTCCGTCACCACGTGCTGGCAGAAGAGATACACCTGCTCTGCGAACTGTGCCCAATCGCACACCGCTCCACGTGCCACTCGGTCCTGTATCTTCTCCAGATCCACCTGGTCCTCGTCCACCTTCCCACGGGTCGAGAACATGGCAGGGTTTACGGCCTTACTCTTCGCCACCGACACGATCTTGGACAGCACATCCAGCAGCATGCTCTTCCTCAGAGCCTTCAGACTCGCCAGCGCAGCCTCCGCTTCTTCTTTCTCGGGGTTCTTCTCCTCGACAGGCTTCTCTTCTTGACCCTTCTCGTCACTGTCCACCTTGTGCTCCGTAGCCTTCTCTTCAACCTTCTCTTCAGTCGTCTCTTCTTTCTCTTCAGTCATTTCCACACGCTTTGCCTCAGCGAGTGTCTCTTCCATCACCACATCAGCTTTCTCTTTCTCGACCTTCTCGTGCTCCTTCTCCACTTGTTTCTCTTCCGCTTTCTTCTTTTCATTCACAGTGACAGTCACAGCTGCAACATCTGCTCTAGGTGAGGGCGTGGGCGTCCCATCACTTGCAGACTGCGAGGCGTCGCCCTCGTCTGGATCCTCGAACCTCCTCCTGGGTCTCGTCCGGGGTCTCCTCCTCTGGCCTCGCACTCGCTGTAGCGCCGAATGAACGGGTATCTTCACGTCCTCGTCTTCTTTTTTGCGTGCTGCCTCCTCCTCTCGCCTTCTGGCGGCCTCGAACTGGTCAACGAGCGCCGCCAACTCTGTGGAGATGGCGGATGCTGCAGGCGTCCAGACTGCTAATAGCGGCGCGAATCGAGGCTCTGGGAGCGGCGCCTCGCCTGCTGCGACGGCTACTGCGAGTGCTGGGAGGTTGGCGTCCTTTTCCCCAGCGCGGAGGGCGGCGACTTCGACCTGAAGGTACGCAATGGCCTCATCCAGCTGCGGTAGCGCTACTTCAGCCTCCATCATAGCGTTTGTTTGACTAGAAGTTTGTAAGGAATCTTTCGAGTTGCAGAATAGAAGTTCTCTGGATAGAAGTTCTCTGGATTTTATCCAGAGTCCATCCAGAGTCCAGAGTTGTTATGGCAATCTGACTGGAGGTCTGAATTTTGAAATGATAGCACACGGAAACTTAATATTATATCACAATATACTGCAATCATTACAAGATGAAATACGATGTCGCGTGTGCCTCAATACACATTAAAGGAGTGTTGGTCCATACTAGCGCAACATTCACTGGGTTCCCAGGCACTCATCTGTCACTATTCTAGTTTCGTTTTCTTCCCTTCCCCCAAGCTCCCACGAAACTAGCAAGAAAGAAGTGGAAGGGATGCTTCGGCGTATTCAACAGCTTCAAGTCCAAGAGGACCACGCTCGCAAGTGCACGACAGTTGACGAGCTGCGCATTATTGCGACTCGGACGAAACTACGGGATCCAGGAGGAAGCTGATGAAGTCGCTGATCCACGGATGATTTTCCACCTGGTACAGTGCAAAACATTGGTTAGTTTAGCCATTTCAAGACACAAAATACAGCACACGTACCCGGAAGTCATCACTCTCAGCACAACCAACGAGCACAGTGGCGATAGCTTCAGTACGAAGACGCAGGAACTTGCCCCATTGAGATCCGTCTAGCATTGCAGGAAGCAGAGGCTCCATTAGTTCATTCGCTATTGGGTGGATATCCTCACGACAGGCTGCTGCAATTCGCGTAAGACCAGACACGATACGGTTCGCTGTCGACTTGGAATATCGATCCAGTTGATTGATAGCCTGACAGAGCGTCACGACAGCAAGTTGACGGCATGTTGCGTACTCTGCACTAGCTTCGGGAACTGTGGAGGCTCGTAAAACTTTACGCTACGCAGTACCGTGGAATTAATCCGTTGGGGCCGTCCATCCCTCATTCTATTCGGTATTCCCAGTATAAAAGTACACTAAATCC